GGGCCGAGTGCGAGGGGCCAAGGTCTGAGGGACTCTTCCCCTGTAGCGAGCTTTTGCCCCGGACTGGGGCCTGTGGACTCCAGATGTGCTTTCCAGATGTTCTGCCCCACCCCCGCCCCCCTCTGCTCCCCCTGCGCACTTTTCCAAGGGAACAAGAGGGATGGAAGGAGAGAGGGGGCACGCCCTGAGTCAGACAGGGGGACGGAGGCAAGAACTGACAGAGTTGCTTCACAAGACACCCCCCCACACAATGAATCACATTTAAACACACTGGGCCCCGTATTAGCACAAAAAGGCACTCAGACAACACACCGCTCACTAAGCCACATGAGACTCACAGGGTTGAGGCCGTCCTAAACACAGTGACACAAACGCACAGCGACTTACTGGTAAACACGCAGGGGCCTTCACTGGTGCACATACACAGAGACATAACCGTGCACAGATGAGTGAGTCAGTGCTGGGATACACACATACACACAACCATATGTGCAGCAAGCACCTGGCAACAGCAGGACACACACAGGAAGCTGGCGCTGACAAGCCTCGCTGCACGTCGGGATGCACACACCACACAGCAGAAGCGTCGCAGTCGAAGGGGACAGAGATACACACTGGGACACAGGAAAGGTAGTTTTGACTCGTTCCCACACAAGCACACAAACACGCACACACAGCCAGGCCTTCACAGCTGGACACGCTCAGGTTGCTCCACGTCTGCTGAGATGCGGACTCTGATCCAAGCACGCAGCTGAGCACACACAGGCCTGCTTTGGACGGGGAGGGAGACACTGCCACACGAGCACAGGTTGACACGGGTGGGTGGGTGCACGTTGATTCATGGGCACCCTAGCGCAGACCGCCAAGAGGCAGCCAAGGCTGATACACACGGAGGGAGCAGATGGAAGTGGGAAGGGTTGTCACTGTCCCTCTGTGAATCCCAGTCTCTCTCACGTGTACACTGGGGCCCGGGATTCCGTGCCAACAGAGTAACATGCCGACACTCCTACCCCGGGATGTGCACACACACTGCAGAGACATCCGTGCACACACGGGCACTGACATTCAACGGGCGGTAAGAAACACTAACATCCACGGGCACATCCTGATTCTATGGGGAACAGGAACCCACACCTGGACACACTGTGAGGTGCACACCTGTGAGTGGACACTGTCACCTCTGTGCAGATGGAGGTGCGCGAAACAGCCACAAAACCTGCTCTCGTGCCCCCTCCGCGCTTACACAGTGCCAACACCTACGAACACACAAACACGATCCAAGTGGACAAAGATGTACACCAAGAACCCTGTGTGTGTGTGTGTGTGTGTTTGTCCCTCTATCACTGCACATCATGCACAGACCCTCTCACACCTGCACCCCTAGTTCTCCCCCTACCCTTCCCCCAGGCCCTGCCAGGCTGACTCAAACCCTATTCCTGTCCCTACCAGGCCACTGAGCCATGGGCCTGAGTCACCCCCCGGAGTGCTCATCACCGCTTCTTTGCACACTCGGCCCCCGGAATGCTGAGAATGTGGGCATGTCCCTCCACCCCAGGAGACTCCTCTGCACCCCAGCAGAAGGGGGCAGCAGATCAGGGCTTGGGAAACGGGGCTCTTCGGGGTTCAGCATCTCCGCTGACTGAACTGCCCCAATCTGCGTGCCTCTGTCTCTCCTCCCTCCACAGGGGAAAGCCTCTTTAGTGTCCAGTCCATGCGACCCTTAGCAAGGTGCTGGGTCTACAGAAGGGAGGGTCGCCCTGAAGGAGGAGCTTATACCACTCAAACCTCCCTCTCTTCTCTCTCCATCTTGGGTCACTTTCGTGACCTGTCCCTTCCAGTGTCTCTCATCCTAACCTCTGTGACGGTCTTTCTCTCTCTTCTGTCTTTTTTCTTCTTTGGACTGTGGCCCCCCCGACAGAGGCCAGCAGAACTCTTTAGGGCAGGCGGTGGGAGGAGGGGGCAGGAGAGGTTGGTTCCGGGGCCTGTTTGGGTCAAGGGCTGACAAAGGGGCACTACCACACACTTGGGCCACGAAACAGCTCAGAGGAAGCTCAGGACAAAGAATGCTATTCAGAGAGAGGCTGGGCCAAATGGAGGGAGAGAGAAGAGAGAGAGAGGCAGAGACAGACAGACAGACAGAGATACACACAGCGAGAAAGCAATGGAAAGACAAGGAAGGACAGCAGACAGACAGAGACCGAGAAAGGCACACGGAGAGAAAAGAGACAGAGAGGCAGAGACTCACACAGGCAGAGGGCAGAGGAACAGGAATGCAGAGGCAGCAGGGAAGGGCCAGACGTCCACCATGCGTGACCTTCTCTGCACACCGGGCCCACATCCCAGACTCACCTGGAACTTGCAGGTTGTGCTGGGGGCTGTGGCCCAGGGATGGGGCCAGGGGCATAGCATCCTGGAGCCAGAGTAGGCGCACTGGTTCTGGTGGCCCCTGTGCCCAGCAGCTCAAGTTGAAGGGTGTGTTGGCAGCCACAGTCCTGTCTTCAGGCTCCTCCAGGAAGTAGGGGAGGCCTAGGGGAAGGGCGGTGATAGGGGCTGAGGTCCCCCTGCACCTCCCAACTCTCTGCCCCTCCAACTGGGGTGCTGGACCAACTCTGTAAGGTCTCTGTAAGGTTGGACACCAGACCAACTCGTAAGGTCTCAACCTACCCCTTTATTTCTGGTCCCCAGGACGTTTGAGTCCTCTTTAGATGTCTGACTCCTCAGACCCCTATCTTCAGAACACATGACCTCAACATATGACTGTCCCTACCGGACCCTCCCAGTAGATCTGAGCCTCTCCTGTCTCTTTCCCTGAATATGTGACTTGTCATTTCATTTTACTAATGAGGAGCGTGAGGTCCCTGCGGGGAGAGGAGGGAGGGTTAAGTCATGTGCCTCTGATCCCCATAATGACCTCCCCCAGCATGTCTGACCCACAGAACAAATAACCCCCAAGATGTCTTTCCCCCAGCACAGGTAATCCCCCCAGATCTGCTCCCCCATAATTATGGACCCCTAGCTTCCAGACTCCCTGAGACCTCACATACCTGGGATATATGTCTCCCGGGGATACCCTCAATCCCAGTGCCCTGTGACCTCCAGACTTACCTTCCAGCCCTACGTAGCCCGGCTGGGACACAAAGTTCTGTCCTCGCAGGTCCACGGCACACTGGTACCATCCTGCGTCCACAAGCTGCAGGGAGGAGATGCTAAAGGGCGAGAGGAAGGATGGAAAGGTTCCGGGTCAGAGCTGGACACTGGGAAAGATCAGCAGAACTGAAAGTGGGGGACCGGAACCTCATAGGAAGGATAAAGTAGGAACTATTTTTAACTCAGTTTACAGAAGATAAAAATGAAACCTGTCACAAGTTCCAAGCCACGTGGCCAGCAAGAGTTCAAGATGGGATTCCAACCCAGGTAAGGCTGAGTGAGGGAGCGGTCATGGTCAGGGGTTTGGGGTGTGGCTGGTCAGGGAGAAACTGGATACCTGAGTTGGCTGACCACTTTCCAGTCATCTTGCCAGTCTTCACCCAGGGGCACCTGGATCTGAGTGCTGTCCGCCAGCTCCAAGACCTGTCCATCCCGAAGCCAGTTCACCTCAGAGGGTTCCCCCCGAACCTTGAGCTCACACCGAAGGACCACTGTAATTCCCCGGGAACCGGTGACGTTCCCTGGACTCTCCACAAAGGGGTCACCGACCTCGGCCTGTGCTCCTGCAGGGAAGATGGGAAGGAGTGAGGTTAGGAATCTCGATTTCCCTGGCTCCTCAACTCCACCCTGTCTCTGCCTGCCCACCAGCTGCCCGAACCCCACCAGGCTCTTAGGCCCGCATAGTTGCAGAGTGACCTCAGAGAGGGCTGGAGGGTGGAGGCCTGGGGGAGGATGGGAGTCTTCCCAGGGGACTGAGGCCCAGCATCCCCGCGTCCGTCCGTTGGGAAGTAGGCCCAGGATCTGGCAGCCTCCCACGCCCTGCCAGGGCCAGCGTCTGCCCTTAGTGTCTCTAGAGATTGAACAGGTTGGACTCGTGGGTAGAAGGGAAGAAACGGGCTGGGGAAGAAGACACAGAAGTTAGACATGGGGTGAAAGGAGGAACAGAGATAAGAGAAGAGATAAAGAGGCACCCCTAGGAGGAGATTCAAGGGCAGAGTCGTCCCGAGGGAGATGGAGCGGGGACTCTGAGAGAACAGGGCGAGGTGAAGACAGTGGTGGGAGAGAAAGAGAGAAAGGAACACCACAGAGATGTTAAGCTGAAGCTAGAGACAGAGACCCTGCTTCTCAGAGATGGAGCAGGCTGTGTAAGAGAGGGGTGGGCAGCTGACGGTGGTAGGGAGCCCCACGCTCCCGAGTGCTCCTCATCCCACCCGCCTGGCTTGGGGTTCCTTCAGGGAAGATTCCCACCTGCTCCGGCCGCCCCAGTTCCCGTCCTCAGGGCCCAGACTCAAGCTCAGCGCCCAGTCCTCCCTCAGCCCCTCACGTCTCTGTGTCCCTCTCTTCCTTCCCTGGACCTCTCGGTTTCTGTTTCTGGTCCTACTGTTCCTCTCTCTCTTTTTCTCTCCCCCTTCCTCTCTGAGTCTGTTTGTCCTGCTCTCCCTTTCCCTCTGTCCCTCTGTTGTCCCAAGGAAACTCCCTAAGCGGCCCAGCCCCCTCCAACACCTGCCATCCATCCCCCACTTCCCTTCCCACTGCCCTGGCCCCTTGAAGGAGCCCCCGAGGTGCCCCCCATCACTCACCCTTGGGGACCACGGAGCCCCAGCAGCACAGCGCCAAGCACCAGGCCAGCGGAACCCTGCCCATCCTCAGGCACCACCACGCAGTTGATGCCAAACTTTTCTCCGAAGTTGCTGGGCACGTCGCGGGGAGGGGGCAGGGCCGGGCTGTCCCCAGCCCTCCCCCCAGCTCCGGGCTCCCCTGATTTGGCACTGCCCGCCTGGCACAGCAAAGGCCCCTTGACGGGCTCCGCTTGTTCCTCCGAGGCCGCCTTCCCCGGATCCCCTGCCTCTCTCCCTCCTAGACTTGGGCAACCCTTTCCCCGCCCAGGCTCCCTCTGCCTCCGCCCACCGCCCCGGCCCCAAGCCCAAGGGGCCACCTGGACAGCGAAGGGTTAACGCGGGGAGGCAGGAGGACCAGCCCTGTCTTAAAGGGACCTCGGAAGGAGGCTGGGAAGGGGGAAGGGGACCCCGGTGGCAGCGCCCCCCGTTGGGCCCAAGGCTGTGTGCCTCTGTCAGACTCGGGGCGCTGTCCCTCTGGGCTGTCTGGGTCTGGTAAACATTCTCCAGAACTCCACTCCCCTCCAGCCGTTGCTGCCCCTTGTCCGCCTCCACCCTCCAGGCCAGCCCCAGGCAGGCCTGCTGGGCCCTTCACTCCCCTCACACTCAAGGCTCCTCGGACAAGGACACACACACACACACACACACACACACACACACACACACTCAGATGGTGTAGACAACACAGACAGAGGCTGGGACAGGCAGAGACACGCTGCGGCGCACTGGCAGCCCACGGACATCCTCAGACAAGCCGGGTCAGGAGCTTCCTCCTGGGGTAACCTCAGCCATGGAACTGCACTGCTGGGTGGGCGGCAGGGGTTGGGGGAGGCACTCAAGCAAGGAGAAACACATGCTCAGACGCACCAGGATCCACTAGGACACAGAAGCAGACACCAATATATGACTCACACCCAAGGGGTCCCCGCCAGCCCAGGTTTTAATCCTATCTCTAAGGCTAAGGGCACCCTCCGGCCAGTGACTTACTTCCTGCTTGGATCTCAGTGTGTCCGTCTGTAAGATGGGGGTAAGAGCGGATCTGTGTCACAGGCTCCCGAGAGGGTGGTCTAGGTTCAAGTGTGTGCTGCTCCTCTTACGGGGTGACGACAGCTGACAAGTTTCCTGTGAGGTTTGACCTTTCATCTCGGTCTGTCCCTGCACCTCCCCTCTGCTCTCGTCCCAGCTGGACCGTGCACCTGGGTCCTTGCAGCTATGAGGTCTGGGTATTGGCTTGGCTGGGCGTCCATTCCTGTGCCCTGTGAGTCTGGCTCAGGGGGCTCTGTATAGTGGGTCTGTCCCGATGTCCCTGTGGCCCCTCCCCTCTTACTCCCGCTAACCCATCACCCAGGTAACAAAGAGAGATGTTTCTGAGACCAAATCTGACCCTGCCCTTGCGGAGCTGCAGCTCCTCTCCGCTCTTCAGTGACGCCTCAGTCCTCAGCTGGCCCCTGGGGACCTCCTCTGTTAGCTCTAGGGTCCTCTCATCTGTGTCTGCCCTCAGTGACGGCTCCAGCATCCGTCCCGCCACCCAGGCCTGAGCTCTGGGGTGCTCCCGGACACTGCCCACCCTGCAGTCACCTCACGCACGATTCAGTTCCACAAACCTCCTTCTCAACATCCTCTCGCCTCTCCCCAGATGTCACCCTGGCCCAGCCCGGTCCTCTACTGCCTGGACCCCAGCTCTGGCCTCATCCCTGGGCTGGGAGCCTCTACTCTTCCCTCCAACCTGCATCCCACTGAGCAGTCAGAGGGATGTTTCCAGAGTCCCAAGTTAAACCCTTCCCTCTCCTGTGTTGAACTTTTCAAAGCACCAAACTCTCTCTCTTTTTTTTTTTTTTGGTACTGGGGATCAAACTTGAGTCCTTGTGCTTGTGAGGCAGCTGGTTGGAACCACTGAGATAAATCCCTGGTCCTCAAACTCTTTCTTTCTTTTTTGAGACAGGGTCTTACTATGTAGTTGAGACTGACCTGGAACTCACTTTGTAGCCCAGGCTGGCCTCGAACTCACAGCGATCCTCCTGCCTCAGCCTCCCGAGTGCTGGGATGATAGGCGTGTGCCACCACACCCTGCTCTCAAACTCTTTACTGAGGTCTGCAAGGACCCGCTCATTTTCACCTGACCCACCCCTCCCCCTCCTGTATCTTTCCTTTTCTCACCAGAAGACCCTCCTCCTGCTGCTCTTCGTCCCCAGCTACTACACAACCTTCCTCAGGTTTATTTCTACTGTCCCATCACACTGTATCACTGCCAGACCCCTTCTAGTCTCTCCTAGGTCACCATGTCTTTTACCTCCAATGTCCTGTCCTCCTCCTTTCCTTTGGCATCGTTTTGCTTGGGTTGTTTTTATAGGCTTATTGTCACTGTTACGTCTGTCTCCTCCTGCTGGTCTGTGGGAGGGAAAGGACTGGGTTTATCTTAGTTGCTGCTATATCTCTACTGTCCTATAAAAGACTTGCCAGAAATTAACCATTAATAATTGTGGCATTTGGGGGTACAGATACGTACAAAGTACCCTCTTCTTTAGGGTACACTGGAGTCTCTACCTGCTTTAAGCTCAGTGGACCCAGCTGGATCCAGTGTGAACTAGAACCTGTGCACTCGTTCCCTCAAGAACTATTTACTAAGCCTGGCTCAGTGGTAGTCTCAGCTACACAGGAAGCAGATGCAGGAAGATCTCAAGTTCAAGGCCAGTGTGGGCATTTTATTTTGTCTCAAAATACAATACCTAGAGGTGTAGTTCAGAGGAAGAGCACTTGCCGAGCACGCCATAGGTCTTGAGTTCAATTTCCAGTACTGAAGCAAACAAACAAAACCCTTATTTGCTGACTACCTATTATGTGCTTTACAATTTACTTTGAAATATATTTTCATTTAATTAATTTATCTAGTTTATTTGTTTATTTTTAATTAATTTATTTATGTTTTGGTTTTTTGAGACAGGGTCTCACTATGCAGTTGAGACTGACCTGGAACTCACTATGTAGCCCAGAATGGTCTCGAATTCACAGCGATCCTCCTGCCTCAGCCTCCCGAGTGCTGTGATTACAGGTGTGCGCCACCATACCTGACTTATTTGCTTATTTATTTATTTGAGACAGGGTCTCACTGTGTAGTCCAGGCTAGTCTTGAACTCACTATGTGGCCCAGGTTACCTTGAATTCATGGCAATCCTCCTGCCTCAGCCTATCAAGTGCTGGGATTGCAGATGTGTGCACCATCACACCCAGCCTTGAGATATATTTTTAAAAAATGAAGCCAGATGTGTTGGTGCACACCTGTAATTCCAGCAGGGAAGGAAGCTGAAGCTGTAAGATTGCAAGTTTTGAGTCTTTCCTGGGGAACTTAGCAATACCCTGTCTCAGAACAAAAAGTAAAAGAGCTCAGCCTTGGGTTTTTTGTTTTTTGGTACTGGGGATCGAACTTGGGACTTTTGCTTGTGAGGCAGACAGTGGAATCACTGAGCTAATCCCCTGGCCCCAGCCTTAGGTTTTGACCCCCAGCATCTAAATAAATAAATAGGACAGGTGGATAGAAATGTCCCTTGTGCTAGGGGCTGGGGCTTCTACAGTAAGAATGGAATCCCATTCTAATGTGAAGAGAAACATCACAAAAATATCTGTCAGAATGCAAAGGGCTTTGATGAAAAATAAAGTAGGAGAGGAAACAGTAAGGAGAGGAAATGCTGTTTCAGACAGGATGGTTAGAAAAGGCCTTTCTGAGGTTCTAGTGGAGATGGAAAGGAAAGGAGCAAGTGAGCTATGTGGGGAAGAGCTTTTCAGGAAGAGGGTACAGCCAGTGCAAAGGCCCGGAGGTAGGCACGAGCTAGGCGCAATGAACTTTGGGGAGGCTGGATTGTGCCTGGAATGAATGGAGGTGGGGTAGAGGGTAATAGGGTCTGAGTGGGATCTGGCCTGGTGACGACTTTGGACTTGATTTTGGGGTGGAAGCCACTGATGGGCTTTGAGTAGGAGAGACATGATTTGGTCAATTTATTTACTTATTTGCTAATAACCAAATCAAACCCAGGGCCTTGCACATGCTAGGCAAGGGCTCTCTGCCACTAAGCTACAGCCCACCCTTAATCTGGTGTAAGATTCTCCCTGAGGCCAGTAAGTGAAAGGTTGATCGAAGGCTTCTCGACAGAGGGACCTGGTCCCCGACACCCCAGTCTCAAGTGTCACTATATGTGGGACCCAGGAGTGAGGTGCCTCCAGGGAGGAGCTTTTGCCAGAATGATTCTGAATCTGATCTAGTTCCCAGTCTCCAGAAGATTCTGGGGCTGAAGGACATTTTGAAACACCACAAAGGTGCCATCAGGCAAATCCCCATCATGAACAAATTGTGCAGGGCTGGTAACCTGCTTATTTAAGAAATAAGGGGCACACAAAAGAATGGGAATGGCTACAGGTTTTAACAATTTAAGAGACATAAGGGTCAGGGACTTAGCCCAGTGTCTGATTCACAAACACAAGGTCCTGAGCTCAATCCCTGGCACCAAGGCGGGGGGGAAGACATATATCAAACCTACTATAAAACATGAGATCACCAGGGAAACAGGGACACTGATACAGCTGTTCACTGTGGTAAGTGTGGAAGTCAGTAGTGAGCATCGTGGAAGCTGAGTGTGGTAGTGCATGCCTATAATCTCAACGCTCTGCGAGGCAGGAAGATTGAAAGTGTGAGCCCAGCCTGGGCAAGTTAGCAACGTCGTGAGGCTTTGTCTCCAGAATAAAATGCTAGGGATGTAGCTTGGTGTGAAGGGCTTGGGTAACTGCATAAATAAAATAAAGAAAAAAAAAAAAGAGTATTGTAGAAAGCAAACTTTGGGCTGGAAGTGTTGCTCAGGAGAAGATGCTTAGAATGTGAGGCCCTGGGTTTCCTCCCTATGCCAAAAAGACAGAAACAAAACAAAACAAAAAAAAGGTAAACTTCACAGGGGAGTTACTGAGTGAGTTTTCATTGGTACTGTTGAAAAATTTTGGATATGGACAATGGTACGATGGTCATAGCACATCATGAATGTTATTTAATGCCGCTAAATTGTGCACTTATATTTGTACATTATAATGATGCCATATATATATATATATATATATATGTTTGCAGTGCAAACATATCTGAAGGCCACACTAATTGTAAATATTTGTACCTTGGGGTCCAATAATTCCTTTTGATTGTTGCAGTCATGTGAGTTCATATGTTTTACTACTGCTAAATCTTCCTGATGTTAACTGTTTTCTTTTCTGTGGTGCTAGCAGTGGAACCGGAGCACCACCCACGATGGGCAAGCACTCCACCCCGAGCGACACCCCAGTTCCTCATGTCAATTTTTTATGCAGGCACAGTGCTTATTTTCAGGTAGCAAGTGGTAGTTACGATTAATTCCAGTCTCATCTTTTTTTTTTTTTTTTTTTTGAAGGGATTACAGGCTGAGGCAGAAAGGTCACCCTAAATTTGAGACCAGCCTGGACCACAGAGTGAGTTCAAAGCCAGCCTAAACTACATAGTGAGACCTTGTCTCAAACATAGTGAGCTTGTCTCAACAAAACAAAACAGGGACCGGGGATTTAGCTCAGTGGTTCCACCGCCTGCCTTGCAAGTACAATGACCTGAGTTTGATCGTTTGATCCCCAGTATCACACAAACACACACACACACACACACACACAAAACACAAAAAAAACCCACCAAAAAACAGAGCAAAACAACAGAAATAAGACAGCTGAGCACATGCCTGTAATCTTGGCATCCTAGAAGGCTGAGGCAGGAGGATGGCAAGTGTGAGCAACATAAAGAGTGTAAAAAAGGGCTGGGAATGTGGCTTAGCACAAAGGCTCTGAGTTCAATCCTCAGTACAAAAAAAAAAAAAAAAAAAAAAAAAAAAAAAAAAAAGAGAGAGAAGGAAAGAAAAATAAGACTCTGAAATTTTTGTGAGGTAAGGCAGGAGAGAAGAGGTGGTAGAAGAGACCGGACAGGGGTCTGTATACATGCACTGGTGATTTTAAGAATCTACTTTCAGACTTGGGGAGTCCCCAGGGTCTGAGTCTGTTGGCTTCAACTTTCCCCAGCCGAGGCCCCAACCAGGACAGCCCATCCCTGCTCCCCCTTCCACATCTGGTACTGATGTCAACAGCCAGGGTGGGTGGTGACCATGTTTTTCAGCTCCCGCCCAGCCTCAGGGGAGGGGTGGACTCCCTCATCCCCACCCCTTACTCACTGCAACACCCGCAGTCACATATGCACACGAGGCTATCCCCTGGGCCGGACCAGGGACCAGAAACAAATTTTTATTGCAAAATAAGGACCTTTATGTCACAAGGAGGTCAGATCTGGCCTCTTTCCTAGCTCTGGGCCTTGGAACCTGGCCCTCACTTGGTCTTCTAGCTCTTGTAGGGGTCTAGAGGGGACTTTGATACAGAGTAGGGGCCTTGGGGCTGTATATGGTGAGGAGTGGGGACAGGGCCACTGTCAACAGTCACATAAGCAGGTGTGGGGTGCGCTGTTTCTCTGGGAGTCCCGTGTCCAACATCTGGGTATATAAGTGCGGATCAGGAAGTGTTTGTATTTGGGAAAATGTGAGCAAAAGAAGATACCTAGAGAGGGTGCCTCTGGGGGACAGAAATGTGGCGGTGGCTGGGGACCACGTCTTTGTGGAGTGGTGTGCCTCAGTGGGAAGCTATCAGGGGAGGCAGGAGGGTATTGCAGGTGGGCTGGCTGTGTGGATCCGGGGTTGGGGTCTGTGGCTGGCAGTGCTCATGGGCTTGCAGGATGGTGAGGGCACACAAAGGTGTTGGGGCCGCAGATAGGGACGGACAGTGTCTCCCACTGTGTCATGACCAAGCACGGTTATGCTGTTCTCTGGGGCAGATGCCCAGAGATGGTGGCACTGAGTCTGATGGACAAAGGGGACATTTGAGCTATGACCGTAGGAAGGCTTGTTTGTGGCTGTGAAGATGGCAGCTGGACTCCCTCATGTGGGTTGAGGGTGCAGGGAGTTGTGCGGTATACAGCAGACACACTATACTACATTGACGGCTGCAGAAAGCTCGTGTAGCAGTTGGGGCCCTCATGGCCGTGTGGCTGTGTCCACACGGGAGTGTGGGGGCCAACTGTGTGGTGTCTCTGAAAACTGCTGCATGTGTAACTGGGCTGCCTTTGGTGCGGACGCGGGGCTCCGGACGCACACCCTGTCCGCTAGGCTGTTTGAGGCTGGGTATGTCACCCTCGGCAGCTCCCGCCTCCAGGAGCTCCTCCTTCATCTGGTCTGCACAGCGGGGTGGTGGTCAGCCGGTCGGACCTGCAGCTGGAAGGCTGGCGGGATGTTGAAGAGGCCGCTGACGGCTGGCTGGAGGCTCAGGGCGTCTGGTGGGCAGGGGCTGTCCAGGGAAAAGGCTTGCAGGATGGCGGTGAAGAAAAGGAAGAGCTCTGCTCGTGCCAGGCCCTCCCCAAGGCAGATGCGCTTACCTGGGAAGAAGAGGGGATGGGGCTGAGTCTGTCCTGTGCACCCCCAGGTCCGTGCAGGGTTGGGTGGCAATAGTGAACCCAGGGTGCAGGGAAGGTGCTGCCAGCTGGCACCAGTGGCCTTCTCAGCTAGGGCTGTGGCTATACCTAAGGAGTAGGGCAGGAATGCCTCGGGTTTCTTGAACCGTCCTTCAGCATCCAGGAAACGGCCTGGGTTGAACTCCCCTGGCTGCTCGAAGACCTCAGGGTCATGCAGGACAGAGCCGAGGAGAGGGAAGATCTCAGTGCCCTGAGGGAAATGATAATAAAACTGTGGTTCTTACCAGGGCAGGCCACTTGGTGTAGGATGGCTGAGTACAAACCTGGAGGGCTTGGGCTTGGGACAGGGTTCACAAAACACAATGCCATCAGCATTAATTGGGTGTTACCTGCGAGCACACACACATACTACCTACCTCTGTGTAACAGGTGTGTGGTACGTGTATCTCACACACACATAGTGGTTGTGTACACATTAGTACACTATCTTAGTCATTTTTTTTTTTCAGTACTGGTGAATAAACCTCAGACTCTTACACTGAGCTACATTCCCAGCCTTTTTTCTCAGCTTTTGAATTTTTGAAACAGGATCTTGTTATGTTACTGAGTTGCCCAGGTTGGTTTTCAACTTGCTTTTCTCCTGCCTCAGCCTCCCAGAGTGCTAGGATTACAGCATTCATTACCATCTGTATCATTAACTCGAACAAGTCTAGGCGGCAGGTACAAATATCATCCTTATCTGTCTATCTATCTATCTATCTATCTATCTATCTATCTATGTATCTATCTATCTATTTATTTTTGCAGATCTGGGGATCGAACTCAGGACCTTGTGCTTGTGAGGCAGGCACAGTGCCCCTGAGCTAAATCCCTGGCCCCTTATCTCAATTAAATTTTTAATTTTTTTGCAGTGCTGGAGATAGAATTTAGAGTTTCATGCATACTATATGAACACTCTACCGTTGAGCTACACCCCCAGTCTTTTTATTTTTTGTATTACTTTGAGATAGGATCTTGATAAGTTGCCTAGGCTGGCCTTGAACTTTTAGTCTTCCTGCCTTAGCCTCCCAAGTAGCTGGATTTGCATCCGTGCCCAGCAAAATTACCCCATTTTAAGGATGAAGAGGGTAAACTAGGCTGGTGGTGCACACCTGTAATCCCAGCACTTGGGAGGCTGAGACAGGAAGACTGTGGAGAGTTTAAGGCCAGCCTGGCCTACATAGTGAGAGCCTGTCTCGAAACACAAAATAAAACAAAAGAAAACAAGGCAACAATAAAGATGAGGAAACCAAAGCAAAGGTAACCTTCAGTAGAATGAGACAGAACTTTTTTTTTAGACAGGATCTTGCTGTGTAGTTCAGGCTGGTCTTGAACTCACTACATAGTCCAGGTTGGCCTCAACTCTAGGTGAGTCTCATGCCTCAGCCTCCTGAGTGCTGGGATTATAGGCATGCGCCTCCATGCCCTGCAGAACTAGGTATTTTTATACCTGGTTTTGAAACATTGGGAGTGTGTTGTGATTCAGCTGTGCCTACCCTAAGCCATCTCTCTGTGGAACGTGTCGGAGTTCACCACTTTGCCGCTGTGGTCAAGCCGAGGGTGGTTCCTCAAAGGTTCCCTGGCCCAGGTTTAGGCAGAGCAGCAGCCACAGGACAGATCAGAGATCCCTTTCTGCTGGAGCTGTGGCTGGAGGCTGAAGGCAGGGGAGGGAGCAGGAGGCGGAAGGTGGATTTCTTTGCTAGGGAGTTTGGCTAATGGGATCTGAGCTGGGAAGGGAGAGGCTCCAGGAAAAGACAGCACCATGTTAATGTGTTCAAAATAGGAGAAAGGCAGATGGGAGCAGTTAAAACACAGGTGCTGGGTTCAAATTTGGGCCCCACTTGGAGGATGGGCGACCTGGGCAAGTCTAACCTTGTAAGTACTGCTGCTTTTGTGAAACGGGCATGGTAACTATAGAGGGCTGCTTTGTGATGAAATGAGATAATCCAGAAAGCATTTAGAACAATTCTTGGGTGCTGGGATTGATGGTACACGCCTGTAATCCCATCCCTCCAGAGGCTGAGATGGGAGGATCGCTGCAAGTTTGAGGCCAGTCTGGGCTAGAGAGTTCAAAGCCAGCCTGAACTACATAGTGAGCCCCTATCTCACACAGAGAAAGAAAGGAAGACAGAAAAGAAAAGAATAATATTTGGTACAGGTCCTCAAGTACTGATACCTTTTCATTTTTTAGTACTGGGAGTAGAACCCCAGGCCTTCACAATGAGTACATCCCTACATCCCCAGCCCTTTACTTTATTATTTTGGGACAGGGTCTCACTAAGTTGCTAAGGCTGGGGTCACACTTGTGATCCTCCTACCTCAGCCTCCCAGAGTGCTGGGATTACAGGCATGATTTACCACCCCTGGCTTCTCAATATCATTATGTAGCTGCTGCTGGTTGTATAGAAACCCTCCATCCCAGACACCAAGAGCTGAATTGGTGTTTTACAAGCATTATGGTATCGCTTCAAGGTGATACACCCACTGTTCTCAATTTGGAAGAGGGGCATTTTGAGGCCCAGATGATAAAGCTATTTGTCCAAGGTTGAAGTGACAGTGGTTAGATTTTAACCCCTGTGGTTTGATTCTACAAGGGAATAGCTTGTATTAAGTGACCTCAGGACCTGGGCTATATCGCCCCCTGGTGGTTCTTAGTCTCAGTTGCTTTCCAGGGAAGAGGCAGGGACTCAGGAAGACAGGAGGTAAAGCAACAGACCCTGTGTCTGAAGTAGAGTCTAACAGAGAGATAGGCAGAGAGAAATTAAAATAAAGACATCCAGCTATGATGGAACAGACCTTTAATTCCAGCACTGGGAGGCTAAGGAAGGACTACTGCAAATTTGAGCCCAACCTGGACAATTTAGTAACTTAGTGAGAACTTGTCTAAAAAAAGAAAAGGCAGGATTGAGCGCGAAGCTCAGTACAAAGGAGGGTCTGGGTTCAGTCCTCAGTACTGGGAGAAAGCAATCAAGGAAAGGTGATACACCAATAGCAATTGTCTTAGTGAATAACTGAGACCCTGAGGCAGAGACCGCCGCTGGGACTTGCCCATCCACATACCCACCTGGGGCAGCGTGTACCCTCGGAATTGAGTGGTCCTTGTGACGACGTGGGGTATGCCCATGGGCACGAGCGCCAGCAGCCGCTGTGCCTCGTGCAGAACTGCGTCCGTGTACGGGAGGCGGGCCCGGTCCCCCAGGCTCGGTGCCTGGCCGGCCTGCAGCTCCCGCGTCAGCTCCTCCCGCACTTTCTCTGCAAGCAAGAGAGTAGGGGTGAGGGGCTCTGACCCTCCTCTCAGAAGCCCGTTGTCTTGGGCAGCAGCGATTCAGGGTGAGGCTGGCCACAGGGAGGAGCAGCCTCCGCATCCTCACCGAGCCTAGGGCCCACACATTCTGTGTGCTGGGCTTTAACATCTATCCTCCTAATCCCATAGCAGCCCTGTGCAGCAGGCACCAAAAACTGAGGCCTAGAGAGCCCTATAGCACAGCTGATTCTACCAACACCCCCAGGCCGGTCCACCCTACTGGCTTGACGCATTTAACACTACTGTCTGACCCAGAATTCATCTGGGCTTATTCCCAGCCCTGCTTTTTTTTTTTTTTAATTACTGTTCTGTAATTTTTTTGTTTTTTTCATTTCTGAGTATTGAACCTAGGGACCTTTGCACTGAACTGTATTCCTAACCTTTTATTATTACTACTATTTAAAAATTTTTTTGAGACAAAAATCTCACTAAACTGGTAAGTTGCTCAGGCTAGTCTTGAACTTGAGATCCTCCTGTCTCAGCTTCCCAGGCTGCTGAGATTATAGGCATGCAGCACAAGCTTGGCTGAAGACCCCAGATTTTACTCTCCAGCCCTGACACAAGTGTCTCATGACTTCCTAGAGGGATGACCCTGGGCCCTACTCAAATCATTCCAAAGTGGCCTGAGTGTTTCCCTTGAAACCTGCTCCTTCCTCACCCCTCCTGCCCCATGTCAGGAGGGGCCCACTGTTCCTAGTCACAGACTTCAGCCTGTCCTTGCACATCTCCCTCCCTTGTTATTCTCCAAGACCTGCCTATTCAGGTCCTCTTTCACCCTTACAGCCTCGCCCAGCACTGTCTTCTCCCTGGGCTTCTGGTGCCCTCCCTCACCCTTTACAATTCAACTCTTCAGGGAAGCCCAAAGGGTTTCAATAAAATGCAAAATTGACCCTGTATCCTGCCGTGGCTCCCCATGCCTGAGAACAGCACGTAACATACTGCCACGGGGACAAGGCCCTGCAGCCACCTCCTGCCTTGTTGCTCGCTGTCCTCCACATCCTGCAATTGGCAGCCCCAAGCCTCTCCCTGCTGACACCTCCTCTCCAGATGCAGGTTTAGCCTTGCTGCTCTACCTGTACCTTCTGCCCTCTTCAACCTCACTTCTGTCCTTGGGGCCTGGCTAGCGGAAAAGGCTCTTACTCTGGACCTCAGGATACTTCAGAAGGAGCAGGAGGGCGTAGCGGACAGTAGCTCCGACTGTCATTGTCCCGGCAAACAACAGATAAGTGACTGTCATCAGCAAGTTCTTCTCGGTGAACTCCGTGCTTGGGTTTTGTTCCTCCTGGGAGAAACCAGGCAGAGGGGTTCAGAGAACACAGGCTGTGGGAAGTAGAGGTCCAGGGGACACAGCCCTGGGGTGCAGAGTAGCAGATTAAAGCTTCACCAGGGAGTTTACATAAATGCTTTGGAGAAGTTGGGAAGTGGGCTCCTGATATGAACTTGCTCTGGTTGAAGAGCCTGAGTTTGATCCCTGGTACCAAGAAAAAACAAACAAACAAACAAACAAATGAAAGAAGCCACTAACTTGCTCTGGTTGCAAAGCTTTTAAAAAATGAAAGAAATAAAAGATGTCTAATAGGATAAAAGAGAGAGAGAGAGAGAAAAAAGAAAGCGAGTTGGGCATGGCGGTGCATGCCTATATCCCCAGCACTTGAGAGGCTGGGACAGAAAGATCTTGCACTTGAGGCTAACCTGGACTCAAGACCCTGTCTCAAAAGACCAAACAAACAACAGAAAACAAGAACACAGACAATAACTAAACGTTGGTGAAGACGTGGAGAAATGGCCACCCTTGTGTACTGACGTACAGTGGCACCATTGCTAGGAAAACAGTACGGCGGCTCTTCAAAAAAAAAAAAAAAAAACAAAAGATGCATGGTACACGCTGGCAGTCCCAGCTCCTCAGGAGACTGAGGCGAGGAAATTGCAAGTTTAAGGTCAGTCTGGGAAACTTGTCAAGACCCTGCCTCAAAAACAAAGCAAAACAACTCGTAATTCACAAAAACGGATGGGGAGGTAGCTTAGTGGTAGAGTGCCCTAGGGTCCATTTTCCCAGTATTGCAAAAGAAAAAAAAATTAATGTACAGCAATCAAAAGGTCAAGCCACTCCACGGTGTATATACCTAAAAGAATCAAAAGCAGGAGCTGGGCGTGGTGGAAGACAAGGCAGGAGGATTGCTGGGAGTTCAAGGCCAGCCTGAACTACATCGTGATACCTTGGCTCCAAAAAATTAAAAAGAATTAAAAGCAGAAACTCAAAAGATATTCAGAGCAGAATTATCCATATGGATGTGAGATGAAAGCAACCTAAATATCCACAGAAGGAAGATGAATAGATACATAAAACATGGCATGTTTCCCCCCAAAATGAGACCTAACCAGAAAATAATCATTCTTGAAAACTAGAGATCAAAAATGTCAGGGCTGGGGATTTAGTTCAGTGGGTCCACTGCCTGCCTCACAAGCACAAGGACCCCAGTTCGATCCCCGGTACCAAAAAAAAAAAAGTCAGCCCCAATCACCTTGCCTTACCTGCCATTACAGAGTAGCCATCCAGCAAGTGAAAAGTGAGGTACAACCTGCTGCATGACACTGGCTGTCTCCACAGTAACGACAGTGCTTATTTTCCAGTTAGGTGTTTATTTTCAAGGAAACATGGTACAGACCAGGGAATATTATTCAGGCTTCAAAAGAAGGAAATCCTGCCACATCCTACAACATGGATGAACCTTGAGGACGCTGCCCTAAGTGAAATAAGGTAGTCACAAAAGGATAGTATGATTCCACTTATATGAGATACCCCGAGGGGTCAACTTCAGAGATGAAAGTAGCAAGGTGGCTTGCAACAGCTTCAAAGAGGTAGAAAGGGGCAGTTGTTAGTTAATGTGCATGGAGATTTTGATCTGCAAGACCGAAAAAGAGTTCTAAGGACGGCTCACGCCTGTAATCCAGAATTTAGGGAGGCTGAGGCAGGAAGATTGCAAGTTTGAGTCTTGCCTGGGCAATTTCGTAAGGCCCTGTTTCAAAATTCAAAGTAAATAAATAATAAATAAATAAAAGGACTGGAGATGTAGCTCAATGATGAAGCACCACTGGGGTCCGTCCCCAGGACTGTAAAAAAGAAGAGTTTGGAGATTATACAACAATATGAATAAGCTTAACACTAATGAACTATGTATTTAAAAGTGGTTAAGATGGTAAATTTTATGTGTATTATTACAATTAATATTTTGTTGGGTTGGAGCCAGGTGTGGTGGTACATGCCTATAATCTCAGCACTGGGGAGGCTGAGGCAGGAGGAGGATGAAGAGTTTGAAGCCAACCTGGGCTACATAGTGAATTCAGGGCCAGTTTTTTTGTTTGTTTGTTTGTTTTTTTGAGACAGGGTCTCACTATGTAGTTGAGACTGACCTGGAACTCACTATGTAGCCCGGGCTGGTCTCGAACTCACAGCGATCCTCCTGCCTCAGCCTCCCGAGTGCTGGGATTACAGGCATGCGCCAGCACACCTGGCTAAAGCCAGTCTTAACTACAGAGCAAGACTCTGTCTCAAAAAACCATTGAATAGAGGCCGGGGATTTAGCTCAGTGGTTCTACTCCCTGCATTGCAAGTGCAAAATCCTGAGTTCGATTCCTGGTACTGCAAAAACAAAACTAAACAAAACCTTTAAATAAATAAATGACTAAAATTTTTTTGGCTTGGGAGTGTAGCTCAGTGGGAGGATATGGCTTAGCAGGCTTGAGGTCCTAGGTTCTATCTCCATTGTGACGAAAAAAAACCTTTTAAAAATGGCACCTCCCCACCCTGCCCTAGTTGGGAGCTGGGGATTCAACCCAAGGTCTCCCTCTTGTTAAATACATGCCCGACCATGAGCCACATCCTCAGCCTAAAAAAAATGCTTTTTTAAAAAATGAAAGTTCAGTGGGTATGGAGGTTCATGCCTGTAACCCTAACACCCTGGGAAGCTGAGGTAGGAGGACTGCAAATTTGAGCCCAGCCTGGGCAATTGAGCAACTTAGCAAAAACCCTGACTCAAAATACAAAATAAAAAAGGGCTAGGGATGTAGCTTGGTGCAGTGGCTCTGGGTTCAACTGGCTTCAATCCCCAGAACAGAGAGAGAGAGAGAGAGAGAGAGAAAGAAAGAGAGAGAAGAAATAGGGCCACAGGGTTAAGAAAAAAAATTTACTTTTTCTCTTTTAATAATAAATTGTTCTTATATAATTCATAAAATAAAGTCTACTGCAATTTTAAATTGCAAGGCTTTTCAAATGACCTAACTGTTATTCACACCTAGTGCGGATGGGGAAATAGGGGTGGGTGGGGTAAATGACCCTGAGACTGGCTGGCTGGAGGCAGGACCTGGGCACGGGGCTCCATCATCACAGGGGTGAGGGAAGAGAGACAAACGGGAGCACAAGACACTAGCGCTCCAAGGCTTTCTGAGTGGGCTCAGGAGAGGCGGGGAGAACAATGTATTGAGAGAGAAATGAACGGCAGGAGGACACAGAGAAGATACGTGCACACACATGCAGACAGAGAAAGAGACCTGGTCCAGGTGCACAGGTACATTCAGCCCCAGGGGGCCCAGCCAGGCCACCAGGCCCATCCCACAGGCCCCCCGCACCTTCCCCCAACCTTCCCCACCTGTGCCATCTTCAGCAGGAAGGCATCGACAAGGTCGCGTGCAGGTCCCGAGGTGTCCAGGTTGCCCCGGTGCTGCTGCACCTGCTGGGCAGTGAAGGCAGCCAAGGTGCCCAAGTGGCGGAGGAGCTGCGTGTGGGGGCCGGGCAACGGCTGCAGGAACCAGGAGAACATCTCATAGGTCTGCAGAGGGAAGCACAGCTGGTGTTCAAGGGGCTTGGCAGGAACTTTTGAGGCAAGTGGTCAGAGAAAGGTCCCATCCATCTACCTGGCCCCATGGGGAGCTGATCCCCAGCAAGGTACCACCAGCCGCCCGGACCACAGCCTGGAACTCCTCATCCTCGTAGGAGAAGCGGAGGCCGAAGAGGAGTAGGCAGACAATGTTGGAGGTGGCCTGAGCCAGCAGCAGGGAGGGATCAAATGGACGTCCTGTGGGGCACGGAGGAGGGAGAAGGCTGAGGGGATGCAGAGGCGAGTTGGGGTGGAGCAGGCCCAGGGACAGAGTGGGCGCTCGACCCAACAAGAAAGAGACAGGTGTGGCCAGACCCACAGACAGACAGATGGATGGACGGTGGACTGACAGAGACACATGGACAGTCCGACAGGGTTACAGACAGAGACAGATAGGCAAGGAGAAAGAGAGAAAGAGGCAGGCAGGCAGGGAGAGGAGATGGAGAGATGAGGTCAAACAGAGAAAAGGAGGGAGAGAAAAAAGGCAGAAACAAATGGGCACGGTGGCGAACAGCCGTAATCCCAGCATTGTCTGGGAGGCTGAGGCAGGAGAATCACAAATTCGAGCCCAATCTGGGCAAATTAGTGGCTTAGAGAGACCCTGTCTTGAAATGAAATATACAAAAAGTCTGGGGATCTATCTCAGTGCAAAGGCTCGGGTTCAATCTCTACTACCACGCATGCACACACTCGTGCACACACGCACACACACACACACACACACACACACACACACACACACACGCACGAGGCAGAGAGAGGGATGAGGCTGGCAGGATGGAGACAGAGACAGAGGGTGGAGGTGAACAGAGCCCCAGCCCAGCCCCAGGCTTCCCCTCCTGCATCTTCCCAGGGCAGGGCTGGACCTTCTCCCCAGGTACGGTGGGCTGCCCCACCCTGCTGACCTTCTGTCCCCTGGAACGCCTCCACCAGACGCTGGACTTCTGCCTGCATGAGCTCCTCGCCTTCTCGCCTCCCCATGCCCAGGTCCCGCAGAGCCAGCATGGTGAATTTCCTCAGCTGCTTCCACCGCTCCCCATTGGCGAAGAAAACCCCTGTGCAGAAAGCTAGGCTCAAGGAGGGACTGGCCCCTTCCCTCTAATGAGTTGTCCCCAGTACCCTGTCCTGAGTCCATACCTGCTTGGCCCAGGGAAAGAGGACTCAGTAGGTGCTCAATAAATACACGATTCAGCTGGTTCCTCCACCTTTTTGACTTGAGATTAGAGGGGACATTTTCCACAACATGAGATACTTCAGGACTCTCCTGCTCTGTGATTAACCAGGATGAGGGAAGATTCACTCCTTCCTCTAAACATCTGCTGTTCAATCGCACGGGGAGCTGATCCTCAGCGAGGTACCAACAGCCTTTCTTTCCCCTCCCATCTGCCTACCTCGGCACCACTCCTCACAGTTGAAGTATGAGCAAAGGGAAGAGGGTGAAACTGCCCTGTTCTCCTTCTTTATCCCAGAGGCCTGCTCTGGACAGACCTTCCCCTCCCTTCTCGGAGCTCTCAGTGGTCCCATCTGTTGAATGGCAGCCTGCAGTGGTCCCCTGGCCTCCTCTGGCCCAAACTGGCCTCAGTGCCTCACCTCTCCTTACTTCAGTCCACCATCCCTCTCCTCGTCCCTGGCTTTACCTCTCTCTCCCTACCCCCTGGCACCTGCACAGACCCAGCTGGTTCCCTTCCTGTGATCTCAGCATTCAGTTTTGTCCCCTATGTAGCACTCAGAGGATCTTTCCAACTCTTCCTAGAGCCTTATCCTGCTTAAAATCCACAGCTCCAGCAGAGTGTGGGAGCCCACACTTGTGACCCCATCACCCAGGAGGCTGAGACAGGAGGATTGCAAGTGACTGCCACTTAGTGAGGCCCTGTCTCAAATTAAAAAATAATAAAAGGTCCGGGGAGAGGGTAGTTCATGCAAAGGGCCTGGGTTCGATCCCCAGGACAATCCCCTCCCCAACAAACAAACAAAAACAGGTTTCCAGGAAACCAAAGATCAACTGCTCGGATGTATCCAGGGGCCTGTGGACTTCTCAGCTTTCTTACTCATCTGCTACAACTGGAGCAGCTTCCTCGCACTTCCTCAGACCTGTCATGACCCTCTCCCCGGGCCTGTGTCCCTGCTGTCCTCATGCCTGCATTACGCATGGCTCCACCCATCCTTCATGGCTCCACCCATCCTTCGTGTCTCAGCTCAAGCGGCCCCTCCTCTGAGGAGCCTTCCCTGACCCCCCTCCACCACCAGTATAGGTCCCCTGTGTCTGGCTGTCACCGTAGAATTCTACTCCCTCCCTCTGCTGTCTTACTATAAGCCCTCGGGCCCACAGTGACACTGCACCTGACCGATCACCTGTGTCCCCAGTACCCAGCACAGGACCAGGTATAATGAGATTGTCAGTTGAGTGGTTGAACGTGCCTTTTTGTATCAGGGATCAAACTCTGGTCCTTGTGCTTGTGAAGCAGGTGGCAGAACCACCGAGCTGAATCCTTGGCCCTCGCACCCCTTGTTTTCACGCGCACTGCTCTTTCTGCTGGGAATATCCTTTCCTGTCATCCCAAGTCTCCGCACAGACATCTTCTCTTCCAGGCAGACTTCCTAGACACCTTGTACCAAATATGGAGTGTCTCCATGGTGCCAAGGACTCCCCACGCCAGCCTGTGCCGCTCTATCTGGTGGACCACTCTGCACAGCCCCTGTTGGGTGGCAAGTCTAGCTTCCTACTCTCCTGGGTGCCCTGAAGGAGCAACGCGGGGGTTGCCTTCATCGGTGCTGTACTGCCAGCAGAGGAAGCCACAGGCTGTCCACTTTCTGTCCCACCAGAGAAGGGTGCCTATGTTTTTGAGGTGCTTGTTTATCAGTTTGCTGAGCCTTGCTTCACCTGGATCAGTGACTTACTACTGATTAATCCTGGTAATAGTATGTGCACAGGCCCCATTCTAATTCCATCTTTAGTACAATCCTATGTGATAGGTGTATATCTAAGCCCATTTAATAGACAAGGAAACAGAGGCACTAAGCCACCGAAAGTCACATACCTGTCAGGGCCGGCAGGACCCAGCAGTACCCACCTCCTCTCGTGACTTACCATGACCGTCAAAAGTCTGGTCCAGCGTAGCCAAGATTCCTCGCCCACTGAATCCTTCAGCCTGCTCTCCCAGGGCCTCCTGCACAGCCTTGTGCCCAACCAGGACCACCACGTGCCGCCAGGGGCCCAGGTGCACGGTGAACACTGGCCCATGCTTTTTACTCAGCTGTGGGTGGGAAGGGAGGAAGGGGCTGCTGCTGTGGGGCTGCGGGGAGGGTTGCCTCTGCCAGTTAAGCTGCCTCCATCCTGGGTCCCTGGCCCTTGGATGAGTCATCTGGTCTGGCTTCTTCCTTCTCTACCAGAAGCCTGTCTCTTCCCCTCAAGCACAAATACACCCCTCAGCTGATTTTGAATCTGACACCCTCCTGCTTCAGCCTGGCAGAGTGCTGGGATTACAGGCATGCACTACCACATCTGGCTGAGAAATAGATCCCTTGAGGGGCTCAGTTCTTCTTACACCAGACTTCCGGGCCCACTCCCTCAACATATCCTCTGGTTTTCATCCCAGTTTTTCTGGCCAGGCCCTCACCTCTTGCTCCAGGAAAATCCAGAACCCACTTTGGTCTCTCATCATTCATCTGCCTTCCTGCAAAATCCAGCCCCTTCCCCAATCCCTGCTAAGCCCTCACATTCTACAGCAGACACTGCCGAGCACCTGTGCTCTCTCTCCCAAGACACCCACCCTTTCCTATGCCCTTAAAGTCCCTCAGAATCTTTTAAAAGGGGAACCTCTTTCCACCCACACCCATGCAGGTTGGGAGGCCCCGCTTCCCTCCAGGAACTCCCGGTTCCCTCCTAGCTGTGCTACACCCACCCTCCCACACCATTCCTCCACCTTCCTCCAGCCGGGCCCTGCCCCTCCGAGAACCCGCAAGACCTCCAGCCTCTGGTCAGCCTCCTCCATCCCCAGCACCCCCGCTCCTTTCTTCTTTCTCCTCTCCCCGTGGGTCAGGCTCACTCAGCACCAGCTGCTCTGGCCGTTGAGGGCTCCTGTCTCTCAGCTTTGGTCCCTGCCCACCACTTTCCAAGCGACGGGGGCCACTCCGGTTGGGAACCCTGCTTCCTGCTCTCACCACCTCTTCAGCACGTTGCAGGCACTGCCTCTCCCGAGCTCCAGTCCCCCAGCCCGGGATCCTTTCTGCGGCGCGTCCCTCGCCTTCTCAGCCTGGACAATCTGCTCCTGGCCCCAGCCCTGCACCGCAGTCCCTCTGCCCGCGGACCCCTCCCGCCTCCCGCCTAGGGTACCCGAGGGCCCCTCTGCCCTGGCGCTC